CACTCTTTCGCTATCACGCCTGGGTTCTCTCTTTTGCGATTGAGGAGTGTGCTTTGCATCCTCGCTCCCTTTATCTCCACATAACAGAAACGGCGGCGTCCTCCTTTTCTCTTTCTCATCGGTAAGCCGTATCTATCTCTTTCTGGCTGCTGCCAACTGCTCTATGTCCGCTTCGAGATCGAGATTTTATCACTTGGCTCTTTCTCTTTCTCGTTTTTTAATTTCCAGGGTTTCGAATCTGTATCTTTTATATCCCTTTGATTTTCGAGCAAGTTTGGAACTTAATATATTATTTTGAGGGGATTCGAATTGATGTTTTTTTTACCTCTTTAATGCTTAGCTTTTGTGCTGCTTTGGGGTTTCAAATTACTTGCCTTAGGGTTAGGTAATTTAGTTTTCGTGAATTTGGGATAGCTTGAAAAAAAGTGGCGGGATTAGGGTTCTATAGGCGTGAATAAAGGGTAGCTGGATTGCAATTAGGGTTTTGTATTGTGAAGCTTTGAGTTTTGGATATATGGCCGCTGGGAGACACGGGGGTTATCACGATAATGAATTCAAGGACCGGGAGTCTGATTTTGAACTATTAAAAGAGGATATTGCTTATTCCAAGGATAAATATGATAGAATTGGGAATGGTAATGCTGAAAATGATAGGGGTCAAGTTCATCACTTAAGAGATAGCGCTAGGGTTAGGCAGAAGGATATTAAGGAGACGGGGGTGACTAATGGTAGGTATCGGTCCTCTTCCAGCAGGAGTGATTCAGGAAGTAGTGGTGGTGGTGGTGCCCTAAGGTCACGGAGGTTTGGGTTTACTGTCAGGGCCACTGATAAGGAGCCAGGTGAGTTGTCCAGTGAGAGTGGGTCTGATGATGGCAGTTACCCTGAGTCACATGCTCATAAAGATAGTGAGGTTTTGAAAGTAACACCAGTGGAGAAGAAGAGGAAGTTTTCTCCTGTAGTTTGGGATAGAGATGAAAAGGCTACCAGTAGCTTATCAAAAAGTTGGAGTTCCCCTGCAGCGGCCACTCTCCCTCCACCGCCACCCCTGCCTAAGGCATACCGCCAGTCACCAAATGTTATTCCAGATGGAGGTGTAGAGATCTCTCCTGTTATAAGCAGTAAGAACCTGACTCTGCAGTCTTCTTCACCGCTGAAGGGTTCGGTAGTTAAAGGGTCTGTTGGCAATTCTGCATCCAACTCTCCAGTAGAGTTGGCTTTCTCACTGAAGGGTTCGGTGGTTAAAGGGTCAGTTGGCAATTCTGCATCTGAGTCTTTGATAGAGTTTGCTTCCTCACCAGTGGAGGAGCAATGGAGTAATGACCAGGAAGTACAGCACATAGAAGATGAAGATTATGCTCCAATGAGGAATATATCATCTTCACGATGGGCAGATGGGAACAATTCTCCTGTTGATGAGGGTGAAATTGTGGAGGATCAAGAAGTTCCTAAAAGGAGGAAGGCTCATTTGGAGTCCTCGGATTTCAGAGTACGCAACAAGTCATCGACGCCTGATCTGGGGGATCTTAAAAAAGAAGGATCTGACGCAGCTAGAGGGAGGTCATCTGAATCTGATGAGCGAGGCACCTGTGCTAGGTCTTCAAGTGGGGATGATCATCCTGGTAATGATTCTGGGAGGGACGACTACATGGAGATTGATGACGAACATGATAACAATGATTCTGATACAGATCCTGAGGATGAAGATGAAAATGATTCGCGCGAAACACCAGAACCTGCTGGTCCACCTCAAAGAAGTATAAAAATGCTTCAGGGATGTAGAAGTGTTGATGAGTTTGAGAGATTGAATAAAATAGATGAAGGAACTTATGGTGTTGTATATAGAGCTAGGGACAAGAAAACTGGGGAAATTGTAGCATTGAAGAAGGTAAAGATGGAGAAAGAACGGGAAGGTTTTCCACTGACTTCTCTCAGGGAAATAAACATTCTTCTTTCTTTTCATCATCCGTCAATTGTTGATGTTAAAGAAGTTGTGGTAGGGAGTAACCTTGATAGCATTTTTATGGTGATGGAGTACATGGAACATGACCTTAAAGGACTCATGGAGTCTATGAGACAGCCATTTAGTCAGAGTGAGGTTAAATGCTTAATGCTCCAGTTGTTGGAAGGTACGAAGTATCTTCATGATAATTGGGTGCTTCATCGAGATCTGAAGACATCAAATCTGCTTTTGAACAATCGTGGTGAGTTGAAGATCTGTGACTTTGGGCTGGCTCGTCAATATGGGAGCCCATTGAAACCGTATACCCATTTGGTAGTTACCCTGTGGTACAGGTAAGCTGAACTTGCACATATAATACTCCCACTTGCATAGTTAATATCTTTGGCTAGCTGTTTTGTTTGATTTATTTTGTTTGTGTTAGATATCCTCTTTGTTTTATTGTTTGTATAGGCCTGGATTATTTCGAATTAATCTCTTACTGTTTTTGCAATAGGCTTGTGGTGTCTTTATTTTCAAAGTATTTCTGTGCTATTAGTGTTGAACTTTTTCTGTGGTGTCTGATATTGATGATTGTAAATTGGCACTATTTGCAACTTTTTATCAGTTTGAATCATTTTTTTTCTATTAACACTGGTCATATATAGTCATACGAGTAAAGTGCTATTTGCTAGTAGTACAGTCAACTCCTCAGCTATGTATAAATGTATGATAGAAGGATGGCTTGTTTGTTTGTGGATGTTACCTTTATTGATTATTTGGCATTGAATATGTAGATTGTCTTGTCTCTGCAGCCAGTTATCATAGGAACCTTTTTGGCTGCTGCTGCTTCTATTTCTTTTGAAGTTGACACGTAATATAGACATGCATCAACACCTCGGTGTCATCTGTTTGATGTTCTCTTCCATTTATCCAGGGCGCCAGAACTTCTTTTGGGAGCCAAACAATATTCGACGGCAATTGACATGTGGTCACTTGGCTGCATTATGGCCGAATTGTTATCAAAGGACCCTCTGTTTAATGGCAAAACAGAAGTTGATCAACTTGACAAGGTAAATTAAATTTCCAGAAAGATAATACAAGGTAGACTTATTCAGTTGGTTTCTACTTGCCTGTGATCACTAAAACTTCCACTGCTTTGCTTAGCGAGCAAGCAGTCTAATTACTTCTCCACGGCCCTTTATTATTGCAGATTTTCCGAATCCTTGGTACACCTAATGAGACAATCTGGCCTGGGTTTTCCAAGTTACCTGGAGTGAAGGTCAATTTTGTCAAGCAGCAGTAAGTACTAATTTTGCATGAACTTATTTTTCAAGTTAATGATAACATGCAGTTGTTCTTATGTTTGCTGCTGTTTTCCCAGGCTTCCAGCTGGGTGATTCTGGTCTGGTTATCTGGCCTCCATTGGTGATACTTTTCTGTTACACGTCATTGATTCTTTTTATCATTAACCACCTTATATGTTCCTTTCAGGTATAACCTACTCCGTAAGAAATTTCCAGCAACATCCTTCACTGGATCACCGGTGCTTTCTGATTCTGGATTTGATTTGTTGAACAAGCTTCTAACCTATGATCCTGAGAAGGTAGATTTGCTTTACTGCTAGTTGATTGCTTTTATTTTTTAGTAGAAATAGTATAGTTTATTGCTATAATAACTTAATAAGGCTCATTGCATTTTTCTTGTAGCGAATTACTGCTGAAGCTGCTCTTAACCATGATTGGTTTCGTGAAGTTCCTCTTCCAAAGTCTAAAGATTTTATGCCTACTTTTCCTGCTCAGCATGCTCAAGACAGGTATCTTAGATGGATACAGTTGAGTATTTATTTATCAATCCAGTCCTTGTATTTTATTTCTTTATTCATTTAGGTTATTTCTTGTTATAATTAGGCGTCTCCGAAGAATAATGAAGAGTCCAGATCCTTTAGAAGAGCAGCGGAGAAAGGAGTTGCAACAAGGGGAGTTAGGGACTGGTGGTTTGTTTGGCTGAGAGATTAGTTGGTCAACCTTGGCTCTGAGCTTAATTCTTCCATTTTGCATGCTACTGACACAAGATGAGGTTGAGGTGAGAGATATCCATTGAAAGGAAGTTGCGAACATTGTTTCTGAGACGATCATTTGTACTTTTCTTAGCAGGCCTCTGTGGTGATTTGGGTGAGGAAAATATTTGCCTCCTGCCATCAACCAGTTATGTTTCAGGTTAACTCTGCTCTTCAGCTTTGTTAACATATAGATGTGCCTGGGGCACTGCTTTCATCGCAAGGTGTGGCATAATGGCTTTTCATTTTAAAATATCAGTTTCAGCTGAAACCATGTATGTAACATATTTTCATTGGTACATTGTAAACTAAACATTATACTTAAATTTGGTTTCGGTGATTAGAACAATATTGATTTATTGCCTCCTGCCAGCTCTATTTTCTTCTTCATCTTCACTCTCTCTCTCTCTCTGTTTTTTTTAATATTGACATTGTGTTTGCAAGAAACAGTTGGTGTGAAGTCCTGGAGACGTTCTTAGCTTTTCATTGATGAAGAAATAGGCAATAACATAGAATGTTAAAGGTAATTTGTTGATTTGATTATCTTCGGAATGTTATCCAGAATTTGGATTGTGCTTCCCAACCATATTGTGAAAACTCATAAACAATTGATTCTTAGTCTGTCTATTGTTTTAATTTGTTTTACCGTAACCCTTCAATATTGCTGCCTGTGGATGGCCTCCTTGTTATCTTGATATAAATATGCTATTGCATGTTAAGTTTTCAGTCACAAGTGTGGCCCTGTGAACCGCAGAATTTCAAGAAATAGCTCTTCTACTTTTTGAAGAAAAAGGAGAAACTAAAAAATAAAGAAAGCAACTGTCAGTAATCTAAGGAAAGAATTGTGTAGTGCAAGCTTCTGTCTAATCTTGCTGATAGTTGCAGTTGCAGTGTGGCACCCTTTATCCTTTCCCTGCTGTTGCTAGCCTTGTTTCCCTAGCAAAAAATGTAACTTAGTTTTCTTTGTTATTAGTGGAAAATTTGTTGACTAATGGCAATGACTCATTTGTTGATGATTCGCTAACAATTTGGAAAATGCTGTTTTTAGTTTGATGTCTTTTAATCGCTAAAAGATTTGTTGTTTTCCTAAGCAATAGGTAGTAATTTGGAACTTAAGAGGAAGGGTGAAGCCATTGCATAAAAAATTGACTAGTTCTTCCCTCTACCTGCCTGATTTTCATTGATAGTGGATAGGTCTTGCAGAACTTTTACTTTGTTAAAGGGTATCAATTGTTTGATTTGTTTTTGTATGCTTCTCTCTAATTGAAGAATATATCAGTAGGTGTATTCAAACAGTCATTTTGTCTTAGTTGTTCATTGTTTTTTATGCTGCTATTAGTTGTTCCCCATCAAGTTTCTTATATTGAAATTCTTGAGTATCAAAATTTGAGCAGCATGCGCTGAGCAAATATGACGCCTTTCATCCTGTTTTACATTTGATGATGTGAAAGATGAAGATTTGACCCATCAGAATGCTTTTATGACATTGTCTGTGGATGTCACTGCAGTATCAAAGCTAGCAGGTCGGGGAGGTTACCTGCTGTGGATTTTATAGAACTTTCAGTTAGTTGTCTTCAGGCTCAATAGAGGTACAACACAAACCTCAGATTCATCTGATTGATCTCTTAATATTTGATTCCTTTAGATGTCAATGTACTTCAGGCGAGCTTATTCTTCACGGTTCTCTGTCAATTTTGTTCCTGTGATGGTAATCTTCTGTAGGATTTGGCACTTCTAATCTTTAGGGCCTGCTTCTCAATTGGGTTGGATTTTATTTTATTGTTTTGACGCTGGGAGGGGGGTTGGGTTTACTCTCCTGATAATTCCATCAATATGGCATTTAGGCAAGGACTTGGGCACAACTCTGGCAGGGTTGCATTTTTGATCAATTAGCAATGCACTTCATCAATTGTTTGGAAATTCTTTCATTTATTACTGCAAGCTATGTAGGGGTCCTTTTCCACTTTTAAATCGCATCCTGTTTAAGCTGGCCCATTTTATAGTAAGAAAATATGAAAGCTCCCATTAGGACATTTTATGTTTGTTACCACATGTTGATTTATTCATCTAGGACAAATTAAGTCAGTCTGAGATTATGGTAGCTCTTATAAAATTTTATAGAAAGAATATTGTGTTGTTGGACGTTAACTATCATGAAGAAATTTAATGACATTTTAAATCAAGTGCAATTCTTTTGTTGGTTTTCAGTATTTGTATTAGACCAAAATCCTAAACCACTTGGCAACCCTCAATGTTCTTGCAACACGCTTTATACTGTCTTCAAGATCTGGCAACTGATATTGTGGGACAAAGTACACATTTACCTTAAAGTAAAAAAATGGTAATTAGAACTGGCAAGCTTGTTCAGAAGGTAAGGAGTCCCAGCTTATTTGGGATTGTGTATTTTCTTCCTTCAAGTAAATGTTCAAGCTTCTTTTAGATGAATTTTTAATATAACTACATTTATGCAGAATAAGGATCTTTTGGGACATCACGTAAACGTAAACAAAATTTACAAATTTACATTACCTTTTAAGTGGCTGGTGAACCGTTTGCATTTATGCGTATTGGTTATGGAATATCTGTTGCGTAAGAATAGCGACTGTAACCTCAAGTGATTTGTCATCTTGGTTCACTAGTTGAATAGTTGATGGGGTGCTTGTCATGTGCATAGGTTGTTCAAAGGGTCCCCAGCTTTCATCCTTCCTTGCGTTATGTTCTTCTTAGTTGTTAGATGACCTCAAGTTTATGAAACTAATTAATGGTTTAGCTAGTATTCCATGTGAAGCTTGTGATCAAACAGGTAGATTGTATACTGAGCCAGTGTGTCTGTTACCTAAAGTAATTGTTTGGGTTTTTCTTTTTGGTAGCCAAACTTTTGGTGACCTTTTGAAGCAAAGTGTTAAAAAAAAACTTTCATAGTACAATGCATCTTCCTGCCCGATGATTTTGCATAATGTCAACTACAAAAGTATGTTCCTGTTGATTTAGTTTTTATCATTTGTTGCGGCTGAACTCTGGTTCCTTTCACCAATCCATGCGCGCACACAGAAAAGAGATTCATCCGTTGCAGTCTTCTTTACTCACTGGTGCAGTTTTGTGTTGGGAGTAAATAATTATATTGTTATCCATGCCTAGATGCATGCATATAATAGATGACGCAGGCAGAATGAATGATTTCAAAGCATCCTCTTCTCATTCTGGAACTTTACCCCAAGCAACCTTACGGTCCTGCCTCTTCAAATTTTACTAGTTTTGTACTTTTTATTTGTGGACGTCGCATACATTTTACTATTGTTTGAGATGTCACAGGCAACAAGGATGTGATGGTCATCGTAAGGATTTTCCAACCACCCATGCATTCTCCAAGGGGTTTGATTTGTTACGGTGCGTTTAGCATCTGATGATGCAGTTCAGTGCTTTAGGGGTATGGTTTTTTGTTTCATTGCCTTTCGAAGTAAAATAAAGCCCGCAATTTGTATCTTTTCTATTGCATTTATCTTTATGCAAGTAAAATTTAAATGATTAGAAGCAAATTGAACTTTGCATGATCTCTCCAAACTAATCGTAAACTGGAATCTACATTTAGTAACTGTTTTTGAGTGTGGATTGGTTGTTTTTTAAAGTGTTTTTTATTTAAAAATGTATTAAAATAATATTATTTTTATTTTTAAAAAATTATTTTTGATATAATATATTAAAATGATTTAAAAACATCAAAATATATTAATTAAACTGTGAAATAAAGCCTAGCATAGTCTTGAAGAAACAAAGGAGGAACAAGTGGGGAGCGATAATGGGAGAGCAGTAGAGGTCCTTATCTATGCGATCGCATGGTGGCAGTTGTTCATTGTTTGCCTTTCGCTCCCGTGGTAGGATTAAACAATATTTGAATCCCTTCAAGATTCTGTTCTTGAAGTATAAGCTTTTGCAGGGTAAACCTGCAACGTTTTAAATCATTTTCAAAGTGCACCGTAGGATGTTAATGTTATAAAAGGAATGTTATAGTCATGTACTAGATAATTGTATGCTATGCTGTTGCGTTATGTTAATTTTTTTAATGTAAAAAAATATTTAAATATTTTTAACATATTTTATGTTTTCTAGTAGAAAACAATTCAAATTGAGTGGGGATCGATCGGAGTTGATGAGTTTAAAAATAATTTAAAACATTGTAAAAAATTTAATTATATGTTTTTTTTAACATCAGATATATAAGCATATTGAATTAATCTAGATTAATTCAGGTTAACTTATAAAATATACAAGTTAAATTATGAGATTATGGTACTCCATAGAAAATAAATTATTAATTATTTTTTTAATATAAAAAAAATATTTAGATATTTTTAACATGTTTTATGTTTTCTAGTAGAAAACAATAGAAATTGAGCAGGGATTTATTAGAGTTAACTTGATGAGTTTAAAAATAATTTAAAAAATTATAAAGAATATAGTTTGATTAAAAAAATTCAAGATATGTTTTTTTTAACATTAGAAATGTAAGCATATTGGATTAATCTAGGTTAATTCATGTTAACCTATCAAATGCCCAAGCTAGATTATGAGATTGAGGTACTTCATAGAAAATAAATTAAAATTAAATATGAAATCTAACTTCTAATAAAAAATATTGAAGAATAAAATTAAAAAAAAATTAATTAAAAAAAAATAAAAACAACTGAAGTTAACTTGATTATTAATTTGGATTAATCTAGGTTAACTTGTCAAATGTGCAAGTTAGATTATGAGATTGTGATACTTCATATAAAACAAATCTAAAAAATATTAAAGGGTGAAATCGAAAAAAAAAATCAATAAAAAAAAAGATAAAAAAACAAACAACTCGAGTTAATTTTTTGTTAAAATTGTAATTTTGATCGTGTGACTAGGATAATTCAATTGAAACAAATCATAAAACTTAAAAAAAATATATCAATAAAAAAACTTGGATTAACTATTCAAACCTGTGATAATGTAATGAGATTGATACAACTTTATAAAAAGAAAAAGAAAAATTAAAAATTAAAGTCTAATTCTAAATCAATTAAATGTTAAAGAATGAAATTGAAAAAAAAAACTAAAAAAAACAAAAATTTGAGTTAATGCTTGAGTAGGGATAAACAACTTCAATATTAAAAGATAAAATTAAAATAAAGATAAAAAACAACTTGAATTAACTCAGGTTATTATTCATCAAAATCATAACTTAGGTAATGAGATCGAGATAACTTTATAAAAAAATATAAAAAAATTATAAAGTTTAATCTCAAATCAATCAAATATGAAAGATAAAATTAAAAAAAAATAAAAAATTGACTTGAGTTAATCTTTCAAACTCATAAATTGGATAATAAGATCAGGGTAACCTTATAGAAAATGTATAAAAAATAATCTTAATCAATCAGATTAACCTGCTAAATTTGCAACCAAGATTATTAGATTGTAATAACTCCATTGAAAGAAAATTAAAATAAATTATAAATTTTAATTTTTAATTTATTCATTTTAAAGGTTGAAAATGAAAAAAAAAAATCAATACAAAAATACAATAAAAACAACAAGAGTCTTTCTGAGTTAATCTGTTAAACACGTTACTTGAGTCATAAGATCGTGACAACCTAAAAAGATAAACCAAAATAAATTATAATTTATAATCAACTCAATGTTTAATGATAAAATTTAAAAAATATGAATTAAAAAAGATAAAAAAACTCAAATTAATTAGGTTAATCTACCAAACTTATGATTCGAATAATGAGATCACGATAATTTCATAAAAAATAAATTAAAATAAATTATAAAATTTTAATTTTAATCAATACAATATTAAATAATAAAATTAAAAAAACATCACTTAAAAAAATTCAAAACAATCCACAAAACCTATACCTATACCCTAACAAAATAAAACCCACGTCGTGATTGTTGGTCCTCTTGTGTTGATCTCGAGGACTACAAAATCAAATATGAGGCAAAATAAGGTAAGTAGGTCCTCTTGTGTTGATCCCAAGGACTACAAAGTCAAATATGAGGCAAAATAAGGTAAGTAAATGAAGTTACAGTTGAGGCAACTGGTTAGGTGCTTAGCTGGTATGCTAGAGTCCCCTGCCTAACTGCTAGGAAATTTTTGTAGGAAGGATGCTATACTTGAGAGATATAAATACAAAGAAAATAGAGAACTAAAAAGTTTAGTCCAAGTTTGGTTGGAAATTTCAGGCACAGACGGCGTGTTTGAATTCGATCAGTGAGAACTGAGAATTTCTCCTTTTTTGTAATGAGCAACGTAACTTGGTTCTCTTGTTCTCTTACAACGTTGTTGCTGTCGGACATGAAGTTGTTCAAAAAGCTTACAGGTGTCAAAATCTCCAATTTAGAAAATGCAATCTCTTCCGTCCGTGTTTCAAGGGGAAAACGGTCCGTGTCTCCATGTAAGGCTTTGTCTTGACCCATGACAAAAATGAGGGCGGCACGGTCATTTTCCACTTTGAAACGTAACGTTACTGGAATACAAATCAAAATTCGCATGGTATTTAGCATTTCCAAGCTTGACAATGTTGCTTATCCCTACAGAGTGAATTATTATTATTATTATTTTAACATGAGATATTTGGATAATTTATGTGCATTATAATTAATCTTTAAATTTATTAAACACTCTATCAATTTAATAAATAAATAAATAAAATATCACAAGAATAACAAATATATATATAAAAAATCAAATCCAGATACTTTTTTAAAAAAATTCTTCCATAATCACTATACTACGACCTAAAATAATAATAATAATAATTATCATTATTATTGTAATCCCTTTTTTTTTATAAGTAATTATTATTGTAATCCCCGATGGCTATAGGCAGTATAAAATGTCAAAATCAATGACTCCGTAGAGTCTCTCCCTTTGAGTGTGACCACTAGCTACTCGTCGTTTATTTCCAATCCTACACTGTAATTAACTAACTAACTAATTAATTAATTAATAAACTATTAAGGCCTCCATTAAATAGCTTCATTGCACCGCACCCTCCTTCAGTCCACGACTCA